GGTTCTCCTTATAGAATTCTTCTACAGGATTGATAGAGTTTGGTGGGGACATAGTGTACTGGCTTTCCATTTTATTATTCTTTTGTTGTGATTTTGGAATGTGAATTTCTTTTGTTTATGATTCTGATATGAGAATTAAGTTGAAGTATGCTTCTGTTTGTATTATTGGGGTGACTAGATCTTTTCTTTATTGGTTAAGTGAAGCTGGTTGGTTCAGGTTTCAGGTTCTCTCATGTTTTATTTTGGAGGGAACTGATGGCTTCAGATCAGCTATTCAGGAGTACCCACAGTAGCCCAATTCAGGTTCCAGTCAGGTATGCTGAGGCTTCCTTCACCCTCTGGAGGCAGGATCCAGGTGCTCTCAGGCTGTCCCCTGTGTTCTCAGCCCCTGTGGCACAGTGAGGGTAGAGGGAGGCCAGAACAGTCTGGCTGTCTGCTGAAATCAGATGCGCTACACCAATGGAGTTTGAAACCCACCTTCTTGGACTGTTGGCTAGGATTTCAGCCTTTGTGTACCAAAGCCAGATCTTCCCTGAGGCCTTGAGAAGGGCCTCAGGAAATCCTTGGTAGGGGAATGGGTATGGCGCAATTAGAGAGGCAGGATCCGGGGGCTCTTAGGCAGTCAGTCCCCTTCGTTCTCAGGCCCTCTATTAGAGGGAGGGAGGCCAGAACTCTAGAGGTCTGCTGAGATGAGAGCAGTTATACTGATGGAGGTTGGGAACCCACCCTCTCAGGCTGTCTGAGATTTTCCCTTTCAGATCTCTACTGTGCATACAAGACCATGAACAGATGTTATCAGTCTAATTCCACCTGTTGTTTGTAATGTAAACTGGGATTAATTCCTTACTTTCTATCTTGCTGCTTCCGTCAGTGATATTTTCATAACACACACAGGCGCACACATAGGCGCGCGCGCACACACACACACACACACACACACACACACACACACTATTCTTGGTCAGAGGCAGGGAAGAGAATGAAAGATTAAAGCTATATGTTTAGTTTACAAGAGAAACCCAAGGCCTAATGAGATTATTTACATTGTAAACAAGCTGAGATAGTGTTAAATGATCTCAAGATGTAAGATTAGCTTTGATTATAAAGTTAGGATTCTCATTTGTTTTTTTTTTTATTTTATGGGTATGTTTTGCCTGCATGTATGTAAGTGCACCATGCACATGTACAGTGCCAGAGGATGCCAGAAATTGGACTTGGATCCCCTGAAACTGAAGTTACAGGTGATTACTAGCCTCTGTGTGGGTGCTGGGAACTGAATCTGAGTCCTCTGGAAGGATAGCAAATGTTCTTAACCACTGTGTGGACAGTTGTCAGCCAGTGGGAACTGAACCTAGGTTATGTGCAAGAGCACCCAGTACTTTTAGCCACTGAGTTATCTCATTTGTTACAGAAGGCATTCCTAGAAAAGCCATTCCTACACCAGACATTAACCTCTGACTTCCACGTGCTTATGCAAGGGTCAGCACTAGTGCTTATGTGAGCGTGCACACATGTGCACACGTGCTTGTACACACACACATGAAAGACTACAGATAGTGGTAGAAGTAATAGAAAAACATGTACTAGAAAGACATGTATTGAAATGATGATAATGGCTTTTTGGACAGGAAGGAGAATGTGAAAGGGAAGAAGCAAGATGAAGGCCTGCTAAACTTACTAGGATATATTCACTTTGGTTATTAAAAATTTAAGCAAATATGACATCACTATCAGTATTCTCACTCAGAATATAAATGACATTACATTACTTTTTTTTTCCTTTTTCAAATAACCCAGAGAGCTCTAGAGTTGGCTCAGTGGTTAAGAGCACATCCTGCTCTTCCAGAGGACCTGAGTTCAATTCTTAGCCACCTTCCTTTCCTTCTGACTCACTCATATACACATATTGAAAAGCAAAAGTAATCGTGGGGCTGGAGAGATCGCTAAGCAGTTAAAAACACTCGTTGTTCTTGCAGAAGACCCAGGTTCGAATCCCAGCACCCACATGGCAGCTAACAACTGTCCATAACTCCAGTCCCAGGGGATCGACAGCGTCTTCTGACCTCCAAGGGCATTGCACGACACGGGTGCACTTACCTACGTGCAGGCAATACACACATACACATAAAAATAAAAGTAAAATAAAATAAAGTTTAAAAAATTTAAAAATAATCATTAAAAAATTTTTTAAAAAATAGGCAGGCATGGTGGCACACGCCTTTAATTCCAGCACTTGGGAGGCAGAGAGATGCAGGTGGATCTTTGTGAGTTCAAAGCCAGCCTGGCCTACATAGTGAGATCCAGGACAGCTGGGACTACAGAGAGACCCTGTCTCAAAAAGACAAGGGAAAAAAGAAAAAAAAAAGCCAGGCATGGTGGTGCACTTTAGTCTCAGCACTTGGAATGCAGAGACAGGTGGGTCTCTGAGATCAAAGCTAGCCTGGTCTACATAGCAAGTTCTAGGGCAGCTGGGGCTACAGAGAAACTCTGTCTCACCAACAAAACAAAACAAAAAAATAAAAATAAAATACAAGCACATAAATAAGAAATGCTAATCAGTATTTTAAAATTAAAAACAGAATGATAAAGGCAAGAGTGATGGTACATTTCTATAATCTTAGCTTGCAATTTTAGTATTCAGAAGGATCAGTAGTTCAAGGTCACCCTTAGCTACATTCTAGTTTGAGGCCAGCCTGGTCTACATGAGACCCCCATCTCAAATAAAGAAAATGGAGTTAAACACTCAAAGTTTCATTTGGTTTACAGTAAACTGTTTGTTTGAGGAAGGGTCTCATCGTCTAGCCTGGCCTCAAACTTGGTACGTCACTGAGGATACCCTTGAGTTTCTGATATTCTTGCCTCCACATCTCTATAGTGCTAGAACTATTGGCATGTACCACCGTGTCCACATTGGTGTTTGACAAACTTTTGTTGTTGTTTCTGTTTTTTTGAGACAGGGACTCACCAGGCTAACCACAAACTCATAAGGCCTGCCTCTGCCTTCTGAGTTGCTGGGATTAAAAACGTACCACCATACCCAGTCTACAACAAACTCTTGATAATTTCTTTATGTGCCATTATCAAGTACGTTTTCAATACCCACTCTCTGTTGGGCTTAATTAAAACCATCATACTGTGAGAAGAAATTACTTACATAAGGGCTGGATCCTATCCTAGTTAGTGACTTATTTTGGGGATTAAAAAAGAGAAGGAATTGAGAATGTACATTTGTAGAGACAATATTTCTTCTTAGTTGTATGTGGTAACTATAGACTTCACTTTCATTTTGTTATCAACACAGTCATAATATTTTAAAATTTGATTTAGAAATTTCCAATAAATTTCCATTAAAAGATGGCACAGAAATTTTATTTGATTGAATATGGTCATGAGATGGGAAAAATAAAAAAGGAAATTCTGATCAGTGAGTTCCACTTTTACTGTGCTGTGTAGACATTCAATATATTTACAATATAGACATTCATGAAGCTTTTCAGAATTGAAGGTCTAAGAAATTTTTAAAAACTAGATTTGCATATAATTATAACTATAGAAATAAGCTTTAGAAATAAGCTTTAAATCAAGAATTAATGTTTTAAAGCAGTTACTTATTTCAGGGAAATGTGTAAAGTCACACTTGTAATCTTATCTAGTAGTTCTCCTGATAGAGTCCTTTATTATATAAAATGACTCTAGAGAGGAAGCACTCAGCAGTGAACATATTATACATCACATTGGATATAATTAGATTGAATATTGCTTTTTTCTCACCATTATTAAACAACCTTTGTATTTTCCAACAGTATATGTGTTTAAAAAAGAAACATGTAAGGCCCGGTGTGATAGCACATGCCTTTGATCCCAGCACTTGGGAGGCAGAGGCAGGAAGATCTCTGTGAGTTCAAGGCCAGCCTGGATTACATAGTGAGTTCCAGGTCAGCTGGGGCTACAGGGAGACCATCTGAAAAAGACCAAAAAAAATCTACCACTGAGCTAAATCCCCAACCAACCCCGAATTTTTTTCTTTTTTAAAGAACCGTACCTAGCAACCGTACCCGGGCATGGAGGGAGGGAAGGAAGGAAGGAAGGAAGGAAGATTAATCAGTTTTGGTGGCTTATGCCTATAGTTCCAACAGTTGGGAGGCTGAAGCAAGAAGATCAGGAGTTAAGCCTGGACTGCATAGTGAATTTGAGGCTGACGGGCTACATACAGTCATTCTCAGAAAAATAAAAATAACTTTTAAAGCATGTAATTAAATTTTCCCTAAATAAAATTTCTTGACCTAGTACACCATTTCAGTGAGTATAGATATCAATGTATAAATAGTGAGAAAAAAAAAAATTGGGGCTGGAGAGATGGCCCAGCAGTTAAGAACACTGGTTGTTCTTGCAGAAGACCTAGGTTCGAATCTCAGCACCCACATGGCACCTAACAACTGTCGGTAACTCCAGTTCCAGGGGATCTGACAGCCTCTTCTGACCTCTGTGGACATTGCACAACACGGGTGCACTTACCTACATGTAGGCAATACACGAATACACATAAAATTAAAAATAAATATTTTTTTTTAAAGTGAGCAAAAATGGTCTCAAAACCCAAAAATTTTGGGCCAGTAGTAATGGCTCAGTGGATAAAGGTGCTTGCTTCCAATCCCGATGACCTGAGTTCAATCTCTAGGACCCACAATGTGGAAGGACAGAGCCAAGTCCTTCCAGGTCCTCTGATGTCCACATGAACCCATGGTCTGTGCACACCCATTTACACCGCCCCCCAAATAAATAAATGTCATTTAAAAAAAACTAAAATTTTTAGAAACATTGAGCCTGTATTCCTCCTATTGAAGAGATGTACATATCAGGATACCAATTCATGTAATGTATCTCAGACTTATTTGATCACAATCTCTTCATGTGCCATCTATCAGTGTCATACTTTGGGCAGTGGATGTTACATTCTTTATACTCATGATGTAAACAAATAATGACTTCTTTTTTTAAAGCAGGACAGAAGGAACAAGCTGTGGAATGGTACAAGAAAGGCATTGAAGAACTAGAAAAAGGAATTGCTGTTATAGTTACAGGACAAGGTGGGTTATATTCATATTTGTTTATTATGTGTCCCTAATTCTACAGTCATTATCTCCCTTCCCACAAACCCCTTATCCATGGCGAACACATTCCATGGTCCCCAGTGAACTAAAACTGCAGGTATTAGGAAATACCAACAAGCCCTAGATACTAAACTGACTGATGGGCAGGCCGCATATGTAGTGTGGATTTGTTGGGACAAAGGGATTATACATGACATGGGTGTGATAAACCAGGCAAGGTGAGATTTTTATTATGCTACAACACCACAGATTTCAGTACTTGTGATTTGTTTATTTTTGGAATTTCCCATTTTAATATTTTGAATTTCAGATGATCACAGCCAACTGAAAGTGCCAAAAGCAGATTCACTGAATTTACATGATTGCTGTCTTTTCAGCTTTATTTACTTAATAAAAAATACTAGTATATGTGCATTTATTGCATATATGTTATTGTGTATTCTAAAAATGAAATTCAGTGAATGCTCAAACTTGATTACCTATTGCAGGCCAACAACAGCTTTTCATTTTGGGTTCTCCTTGAAGCCATCCAAAGATCAGATAATGATCAGTTGGTGATCAGTCACCAAATAATTTGTAATCAGGCACATGTGTTATCCCTGTTTTGAAATCTGGTTTTGATTGTGTGCTTGTAATACTTTGTTGTTGTTACGGTGCTAAGTAGCCTTGCATCAGTCTTGCATGCTTGGCAAGTGTCTTGTCTTTGAGTTAGACCCCAGTCTGGTAATGCTTCTTGACTATGTGTTGCCATATTAACTAGAAATGTCTCATTTTGATTTATATTTGGCTCTTGCAAACCAAAGCAGCTATTTCTTGTGTTCATTTTCCTATCACCTCAAATTGAAATTATTGTCTAAGCCAGGTATGATGGCCCTGGTTTGTTATTCTAGGACTTGAGAGGATGAGGCAGTAAGATTGCAGCTACACATCCAGCCATAGCTACATAGTGAGACCTTGTCTCAACAAAAAAGAAAAAAAAGAAAATTGGGGTCTAATATCTTTATCAGTCAACATTTATTGCATACTTGCTGTCTCCCAGCTATCATCGTATGTGCTTCATGTGGAGTGTTTAGCTCTCACCCCAACTCCATGCTTTGCATACCTGTTACCATCTTAATTTTTTAGAAGAAGTAGTACATGAAGTGCAGAGTTACCTAATGTTTCATGGTTAGCAAGTGATAGAGTCAGGATCGGAGCCCAAGCATTCAGATATCAGAGGCTGAATTCTTACTGTTGTGATTATTGTGTAGTATGTGAGTATGAGTGTCAGATGAAACATAGTTGTGCTTCCCTTAGCAGTAGGAAGACATTCTGGTAAATGCATCATTGGGTGATTTCCTGTGAACAGCACAGCATCGTGGAACACAAACCTGATTAGACAGATCAATCACTCTGTATGACCTTCTTTTGTTTTTGTTTTTTTGGAGACAGGCTACCCTGGAACTCACTGTGTAGACCCAACTGGCCTTGAACTCCAAGAGATCTACCTACCTCTGCCTCCCCAAGTGCTGAGGTTAAAAGTGTACGCCACCATACCTGGAACTCTGTGTAGACCAGACTGGCCTCAATCTCACAGAGACCTACCTGCCTTTGCCTCTTGAGTGCTGGAATCAAAGGCGTGTGCTGCCATGCCTAGTCTCCTTATGACTTTTTAATGCAATCAAGAGATAGAGCAAAAATGAAATGTGTGAGGTAGGTACTTAAGGTACTTAAGCCAGGGGCATGGTCCTTTGTTATAAATGAGTATTATTTATTGTGTATAATTACATGAGTTGTACTTCCATTTATGACATTGCAGTAGGATTAGCTACTCTAGCATCTTTGGGACTGCTTTTGTATGTTTGGTTCATTGTTGACCAAAATGTTATATAGCACATGGGTGTACTTGAGTTTATCATAACTGAAATATGTTTATATGTAAAATAGTGTTTATGGTAAAAACCAATCCATTCAGTAGGTGTTTTCTATGTAGCTGACTGACTTTCGTACTTAACATCAGCTAATTTTCTTTTTTTTTTTAATTTATTTTTATTTTATGTGTATGAATGTTTTGCCTGTATGTATGTAGATGTACCGTGTGGAGGCCAGGGGAAGGAATTATATCCCCTGGAACTGAAGTTACAGGTGGTTACTAGCTTCCATGTAGGTGCTGGGAACTGAACATGGGTCCTCTGGAAGAACAGCAAGTGCTCTTAACCACCAAGCCATCTCCCCAGCTCCTCCCTCCCTTCGTTTTAAATTTATATATGTTTGTGCACACAAGTCAGGGAACAACTTTATGAAGATGATTCTTTCCTTTCACCTTTATTTGGATTCTAGGGATCTAACTCAGGTTGTCAGGCTTGCACAGCAAGTGCTTTTACCTGATGAGCCTTCTGGCTAATCCCAGTTGAAAGATTTTGAAGTATGAGGAAAAATGTCATAGGCTCCATGAAATACACAAAATCTATGATGCTACAGTAGCCTTAAGCTGCCCTGAGGAACAATAGAAGATATTTGAAATAATGCACATGCAGACACAGATACACATAACTAAGACAGATTCACATTGTATAGCCTTGACTTGCTTGAATTCATGATCCTCCTGCTTCAACCTCCGTAGTCCTGGGATTTCAGGCATCCACCACTGTGCCTAGCAAAAATACTCCCTTTTTTCCTTCTTCACTTTTTTTTCTCTCATCTTCCTTCCCTCCTTCCCTCCTTTCTTTCTTCTGACATTCCTTTCTTCCATTTTTTTGTGACAGGGTCTCACTTTGTATCCTAGGCTGACCTGAAACTTGCTATGTAGCCCAGGCTGACTTTGAACTTGCCTTAGCCTTCTAAATCCTGGGGTTACAGGTGTGAGCCACCATCCCTGTCTTTAATAACTATAAAAAGTTTGATTCTCCTTGATGGTAATTAGAGTAATACTTTATCTTGAAATGATATTAGTAGGGAAATGTAGATATTTTAATTAATTCTGCCTTTCTTTCTTTTAGGGGAACAGTATGAAAGAGCTAGACGCCTTCAAGCTAAAATGATGACCAATTTGGTTATGGCCAAGGATCGTTTACAACTTCTAGGTATTAATTAATGTAGTCTCTAATTAGTTATTAGATGTTCTTGAAATATTTGATGACCCTTTCATTGTAAAGGACTGGAGATATATCTGAGTGGTGGAGCACTTGCCTAGCATGTGCTAGGCCCTGTGCTTAATCTCCAGTGCCAGGAAAAAAAATCAACCTTTTTGTAGGTAGAGCATCAATACTTCAAAATGTAGTCTGGCCTTTTTTGTGGGCAATGAACAAGATCTCCTTATGTATACCAGGTTGTCCTTGAACTCAGTGTTTCCATGCTGTCTCCCTTGCCTGCCTTCTGAGTGTTGAGGTTGCAGGTGTGTACCACCACAGTTAGGCCTTTTTTTTTTTTTTTTTTTAACTAAAGAT